CCATGTCAGGAAGGCTGGAACCAATTCCAAACCAACTGCTATGGATATAATGATGCAGACGAAAGGGATCGAAAAAACTGGACTGAAGCACGAGAAAACTGTACAGGAAAGGTTTCAGATCTGACTGTTGTAGAAACCGATGTGGAAAAGGTAAACAGCTTGTGTTAAATTAAACTGAATTTTATGGAAAAAACTGTTAATCATATATGTGCAGTTTTTAAATCACTCTCTATGTTATTGTCATGTCAAACGTAGAGTAAGATAAACAACACATTTAGTCCTGCTATAAATGGCATTGCTGGATACTGGATTGGCCTGAGAGCTGATCAAGGAAAATGGAAATGGATCAACGGGGCTGAACTGATCAATACGTGAGAAACACAAACATTCTTATTCTATGATTAGTCAAATTAATGGGTTTGTATCTAACTGATGTTTCTCTTCAGGAGCTGGATAAAACACAATGCAACTGATGGCCAGTGTGTGACTGTTCTCGAAGACAGAGAATGGAGATCAGTCAGCTGTGATGAGAAGAACGCCTGGATCTGTAAGAAGAAGGCTTTAACTGTTAAATAGGACACATTTAAACTTCTAAAAGACATTCAAATGTATTTAAACATAAAAACCTGAGCGTAAATGTTGTTATTTTAGACTGAGTTAAACTATTTACTTATCCACATTTACCAAATGTTAATTTTTATTATATATTTTTTTTCGATAGAAAAGATATCTTAGTATATTAAAAGCATGTATTTGTTGTCCATTTTTTATCAAATATTGAGTAATTACGGAATAAGAGAAAATGTTTTAAGCACTGTGCATCTTCCAGTATATGAAATCCTACATGTGGTAAAATCTGCATTTGAGATATCAAAAAAGTACTCCAGAGTGTTGTTCAGCATGGGGGTGAGTAGAAAATGAAGGCTAATCATGTTTTGGGTGTACTATTCCTTTAAGCTGCTGATTGCCACTACCTACGCCAGAGTGTTTGCCAGTTTTTGGTACTCTAGCCAAGCTGAGTTTTCTCTGAGTAAGACTGAGTTCTTGTCTCCCTGAGTTTGAACTTTGTTTTTTTTGTCTTTGCCTCTCTGCAGGATGTCATCCTGCAAACTGGACCTTTTCGGACCTCCACTCCCAGGAGGGATCAACTGAGTCTAAACTGAGCCAGGGATTCAAACAGGAGGTTTGGATCCAGTCTCCTTTGAAGACGTTGAAATTACTCTCTGAGCAAGGGAATCATCTTCACCACGACCAGTTCAAGTACAGCAGGAAATCTGAGTGGAAATCAGCGTCACCGTTCCCCTACACCGTCCGAGTCCTGGGTAAACCCTGTTCCGCCCTCCAGCGAGTCAGACAAACTCTGGAAAAACCAACACACAGATTGGAGTCAAGGATCCTTCCCTTCTCTGGAAACGGGAGTCATCAACCAGCTCCTCTGCTTCAAGTCAACGATTCAAGTTTCCCACTGGGCCTAAACTAATAGTCTGTCTTCCCCTCATCTTCCAGTTCCGGCTGAGCAGAGTTCAGAGAAACTCTGCACCAAGCTTAACATCTTCAATAAGATCCATCAAACTTTTCATCCGTGTCTCTCTGTTTGGACTTCTGCATTTTGGGTCAGACCTTTAATTAAATCATGAAACCTGTTTTGCCTGGATGTTGGTAGCTGCTGGATTGACAGGTGGCTGGGCTGATGCACAGCTGGACACTATACTGAAAGTCATTCTATAGTTAACCAAGTGATTAATAAACCTCTCCCTTCTGTCAGTGGTTGAAAAACTGTATAAGCAATGAAAGTGAGATGCTTAGACTTAGACAACATTTGTTGTCATTTTGTATAGACAGAGTGTATATAGAATGAAATTTCGGTTTGTACAGCTCTAAGGACACTTCCATTTCTTAAAGTGCTGCAGTAACAGTATTATTACTGTAACTGTAGCAGTATTATTACTGTTACTGTAACTGTTCTACAAACAGGAGTAAGATTTTCTCTTAAAATGATTTTTTGTTGCTTAAGTTTCAAGTTTAGTTTTTATCACTTCTGGTTCAGTGAAGCTAATTATAGTACATACAAAGAGTGTAAAAATAAGTTTTGGACAGATTAAAGGTTTACAAACAAAAAACCTAAGATAAAATTAATAAACAAGAGCAACTAATTTTTTTTTAACATACCGGTAACTGGTTTTTGTTTCCAATCTTCATTCTAGATAATGGGTTTTACATAAGCAAGATTTAACACGCACACATATTAATGTTTTTCAACTATTTAAACTATACTTAAAACTCAGAAGTTGTTAACATACTGAAATAAATTGGAAAGAATCTTTGGTAAATGTGAGCAAGTGGATCTTTTGACAGATGGAAAAAAAAACACAAACAAGGAAAACATTTTTATTCAGTCTCTCTGATGAAAACAGCAAATATTCGTTGGAAGATTTAAGTCAAACAAAATTATAAAACCATTTTTCTTCCAAATCTACAATATTGTTAGTATTACACATTGGTGCATTCATAATAGACACATGCTATATATAGAATGGCATCTGGATTTCTCCACAAAACGACAAACCAATCACAGATAGAGGAGTGCGAATTATCTTATTTTTTAAAAAGATCAATCTTATTTTTAAAGAATCCTATAAAATCATTACAGCTAATGGTAAATGGCATGTACTTATATAGCGCCTTTTTTCAAGTCAGGAGACTTGACCAAAGCGCTTGACACAACATTCATTCACTCATTCACGCACACACTCACACACTGATGGTGGCAAGCTACATTGTAGCCACAGCTGCCCTGGGGCTCACTGACAGAAGCCTAAGAGCAGGTGGAATGGACACTTCAGCTAAGCTATGGCTCTGGGTGAGTTTGGCAATTGTATTAAAAAGAAATCTAGGATTATTCCTATTCTCTTCTATTAATGAGGAGAATAAGATCTCTATATATTAACTTTCTGTTGAACAATAAAGAGAGCTTAAACTTGAGCTTTCTATATCTTTTTGTTTCACATCATACATCAATTACCATATTTTAAAAATCTGTAGTTGAATCCGTCAGTCAAGTTAAGACAAATTTCCTTTGAGGTCGTCCTGTAAACAATCCATCTAATCCTTCTTTTAGCATATTCCGTCATTTTAAAGTCCAGTATAAGAACAAGCTGAGTCTGACATAGTAGAACTTTATTATTAGCTTATGTCAGAATAACAAGAACTGACTTACTAATAAAAAACATCCTATTATGTGTTTTCTGCATAATTAATGTTTATTATAATTCATGATATTCATGTAGGTTAAATGTTCCTGGTTAAATTTATGGTTAATTCTTTTCATTTTCATAATGCTATATATTAGTGTCAATATGAAATTTATAAACATCTAAGAAAAATAAGACTCCTGATAAAAATAAAGGAGAAATGCTGATTTATTGATAGATCTAATTCAAAGTAACTTTTCAATAAAACCTTCCAGCACAATATCAAGAAAAACTAGAAACCCTCAGAATAAAAACCATCTGCCTGTTAATAGTGTGAATTTATCAGCATCACCACTTTTTTTTTTTTTTTGCATCCCACTACAAATGCAAATGTTTTGTTGTTTTAACATGAAACCTTTTTTTGTTACCATTATGATAGAGGCCTAAAAATGTATCTAGGCTTCATCAGCACCCTCTGCTGGCCATCTTTAGGTATTGACAAAAAATGATGGTCATTAATTCATATTGATGCTAATCAGATTTCATATGATTCAATTTGATATATTCATGTTAAAATAAGAAGTCAGGAGACATATTTCTAAACAATGTCTAATTAACTCCAGTGAACTCAGGGAGACTAATACATTTCACACCAACAGATCCAAATAATAATTTTGTTGCTGCACTGACCAAAGAAAACTGGGTCTCACATTTTTTTATATTAACACTTTATTTCAAACACTCAACATTCGTTGTAAGTAAAGGTTATGTTGAATTGTAACTAAATGTGAATCTGTTAAATTAGAAACACCAATAATAGTAAAAAAATAAATCAAAAATATATTTATGAAATATAAATATGTGTATGGGCTGCTTAGTGGAGCAGTGGATAGCACTGCTACCTTGCAGCAAAAAGGTTCCCGGTTCAGTTCCTGTTCCGGGGTCTTTCTACATGAAGTCAGAATGTTCTCCCTACTCATGCATGTGTTCTCTCTGGGTACTCTGGCTTCCTTCCACAGTCCAAAAACATCACTGTTATGTTAATTAGCATCTCTAAATTGTGCTTAGAATAGATCAATATGTGGATGCAACATAATTTTCTAAATGAGGACAGTTCTAGAGTTAGCTCACAGTTTCAGCTACTAGAGCCAGAAACCACTTTTATGGCTGAAATCTTGATGCCATGATGAACTCAGACCTGAACCTTCAGATTTTTTTTCTCTTTCTGGATTTTAACATAAATCAATGAGCCTAATCTGTAGCAAAAGCATAAGTACAGAAAACCGTTGTTGAGATTTTTTTTTTAATAAAATGCATTCATCTCTTGTATAAATGTTACTTTAGTTCCTTTATTGCTCATCTTCATTATGGTGAAGCTAATTGCAGCACAGAAAGCTTAGAATGGAGGGACAATCATGTGGACAGACATTTTAAATTAGAAGATGTTAGTACAGAGAGGAGAACAGAGACACAACAAAGCATCTCCTTTGGAACATTAATGTGGATTATGGTTCTGTTTTCAGTCTATGCAGCAGATTTTACCACATGTAGGATTTCATATACTGGAAGATGCACAGTGCTTAAAACATTTTCTCTTATTCCGTAATTACTCAATATTTGATAAAAAATGGACAACAAATACATATTTTTAATATACTAAGATATCTTTTCTATCGAAAAAAAATATATAATAAAAATTAACATTTGGTAAATGTGGATAAGTAAATAGTTTAACTCAGTCTAAAATAACAACATTTACGCTCAGGTTTTTATGTTTAAATACATTTGAATGTCTTTTAGAAGTTTAAATGTGTCCTATTTAACAGTTAAAGCCTTCTTCTTACAGATCCAGGCGTTCTTCTCATCACAGCTAACTGATCTCCATTCTCTGTCTTCGAGAACAGTCACACACTGACCATCAGTTGCATTGTGTTTTATCCAGCTCCTGAAGAGAAACATCAGTTAGATACAAACCCATTAATTTGACCAATCATAGAATAAGAATGTTTGTGTTTCTCACGTATTGATCAGTTCAGCCCCGTTGATCCATTTCCATTTTCCTTGATCAGCTCTCAGGCCAATCCAGTATCCAGCAATGCCATTTATAGCAGGACTAAATGTGTTGTTTATCTTACTCTACGTTTGACATGACAATAACATAGAGAGTGATTTAAAAACTGCACATATATGATTAACAGTTTTTTCCATAAAATTCAGTTTAATTTAACACAAGCTGTTTACCTTTTCCACATCGGTTTCTACAACAGTCAGATCTGAAACCTTTCCTGTAGAGTTTTCTCGTGCTTCAGTCCAGTTTTTTCGATCCCTTTCGTCTGCATCATTATATCCATAGCAGTTGGTTTGGAATTGGTTCCAGCCTTCCTGACATGGCAAACACTTTCTGCCTTAAACAGCAGAGATAAACAAGAACATGTTTAGCAGCAAAATGTTATTATTGTCTGTTGCTTTTAGATATCAGGAGATCTATTCTTACCATTTGTTCTTTTAGGACAGTATTCATCAATGCTCCACTGAGCTCTGCTGACATTAAGCTCATTCTGAGTTTCCTTCAGCTTTTCTATTTGTTCCTTCAGGGTTTCTTTCTCTCCCTCAAACTCATGATTTTGTTTTTTCACTTGATGAAGTTCTCTCATTAGATTACTGTGAACTAAAACAGTGAAAAAAAAACATTAATGACACTGAAGCACTTTATCTGTTATCCTTTTGTCCTCAGTTTTGCAACCTAAATAAATTTGAATTGATAACTTGATGTGCAAATATAAGAACAATAAATCAATCTGCAGAAAACATTTTGAAGCTTCTTTTCAAATTGAAAAAAGTATATGGTGTGAATATACAACGATGAAATAAGAAAATTTCTTCACCTAATTTATTTCAGAAAAACAATCAGACATTAAGAAGTTATGCTTATGGTATTAGCATTCCAGAAAATAAACTCTATAAAAAGACGATTGGTCTTTAAAAGGAAGCTTGTTGAAATTAAAATCCTCTGAGAGCATTTCAACATATTCTTCAAAATTCTATTTAATTCAAAAAAGCTTATTTAAATAGCGCCAATTCACAACAAACGTCATTTCAATGTGTTTTACAGAGACAACACTGTCAGATTGGTTATGAAAACCACTTAATTGCATCCAGTCGTACACCGTTTCTCAATTCACAAGAACGTGAGAACGGACTCGTGTCCTCACCAAGTATGTTCTTAAGAAGAACACAGGAAAGTCTGGACTCATGAAGAACGGGAGCAGGCAACATAGAAATGGGTCAGTTGGAACAGAAGCGTACTGATGCATGCTGGGACAGCTGTCCATCTTGTTCAGGAAAGACACAGCCATGCAGACAAGGTCCGAGCCATCTCACCCAGTCATAGTAGAAAAAACAGGACTACACTGGCAACAAGCAAAACTCCAACATCTATAAACAGAGATGTCGATAGCAGCAGCACACCTGATATTTCAATCCAGGATGAGGTCACAGTTAAACATCAACAGACCAGGTGAAGCTACTATGACGACAAAAGGCAGAGAGAACATGAAGTTATGAGTGGAACTTAACAAACACCACAGAATGGGAGAAGAGAGACAGAATGAAGCAGAACGAGGTAAAGTGGTCCCTATGTGATCCAGCAGCCCAAACATATAGCAGCATAAATACAAAAAAAGATCAGGATAACCTCATTATTTTGGATGAGATATAGGAAAAGTAGAGCCAAAAAAGAATGAAATAAACTAAGGAAAAATAAATGATCAAAGGAATGAAACAAGTGTGAATGATTGCTGTGACTTTTATTAAGGTGACTTACTGTAGACATGCAGCGGGATAACTACCAACAGAATCAGCCAATAAACTGCTACTGGGAAACCCTGAAACTTGTGACCTGATAAAAAAAAGAAAAATATTTTTGTTATTATTATTATTATTTTAGAAAAGGAAATACTGTCAGACTTACTATCATTAACTGGATGGGTTTTCTAAATAAAAAAAATAACTTTAAGTTGTCCTATTCACATTTGAATCTCTAAGCCCAAAGCTTATCGTTAAGACTTTGATATTCCACTTTGTTCATGTTTTACCTGGGGTAGCTCTCATCTTCATCTCAGCACCTGCTGCTACTTGAGGATAGTCCGATTCTGCAGTTTCCTCTGAAAAACGTGAGAATAAAATACAATGTCCTCTAAACCAAAGGTCCTCTTTAAAAGAGCAGCAGTTAATGGCTGACTTTCCATTTTCTGGCTTTGATTAGGTTTGTTCATCTTTTGTGTTTCTGAATTTATTCAAAGTTTATTGTTATTTCCAGGAAACAAATACCTCTAACTATGTGTTTACTCCCTCATAAACATATCTTCCTTCTATGTTCATTAAAACACAAACATGGTTTTACTTGTAAGGTGAAAAAAAATCTAACGCCTCATAAATTGTAGTTTAAACAGATTACAAGTACAAGGATCAAGTAAGATAATTATAATTATTATAAAATATTCGGAATATACTGTAACTAAAAACAAAAGCCTTAACATGTTGCCTCTTACCTCCAGACAAATAAAGATTTGGGTTCTCAGATGCACCATGCAGACTTTGAGCTTTTCTGTCCATTCTGTAAAAGTTTCAACACATCATATGAGGACAGAAGGTAACCGTCACAGAGAAAAACCTCAGACTTTTTACCCTCAAAAGGACTTCTAAGTTCTGCTTTTATGACGTGTTTAAAGTCTTAACTTACCAACCTGTTATTCAAGGAGCTACAGTTCACTATCCTGATTCTCAACAAGAAAAGTTTTTTTTTCTGTTGAGACAAAAAACAACAACCTTAATAATAAAGGCTTTAGTTTTAAAGTGATCATACAGAAACTTATAAAGATTCTTTAAACCAAGAAGTTAACGTATGTTTGGTTTTAAGTTCCTTTTTTTTTTATCTTACTTTATCAAGTGTGTCTTCCATGATGCTGCAGCGAACATTTTAGATTTGCAGGAAAAATACTTTTGTAATTCATAAATGTTCTAATAGAAATGTTTCAAACACTTTAACCCACAGAGCATCAGGGAAGTATTCACATTTCTTAACGTTTTCCACATTTTGTCCTGACAGCCTTATTTGAAAATGGTCTGTTTGTTTTTAAAACACCTAAAGTAGATTTTTTTTTTTTTTTTTGCACATCAGTTTTGATAGATATTGTGTTGAAGCACTTTCAGGTAGTAAAAACATCCTCAACTCCTCTTAAGTATGTCTTATTACGTTGGGGTTTTGGTGTGCCAATGTAAGGGGATATTCAGGTAACTTTTAACTCAATACTCTAAGCTCTGTGAGCGCTCCATTGGAAGCTGCTGCTGCCGCAGTGCATGCTGGGATAGCTGTCAAACTCAAGAACGGACAAGTCTGCTCTGATATATACTTGGTAAATAGGGAGGGAGGATAACAACATCCAGGGACTTTGCCCGTTCTCCTTCTTGTGTTCTTGTGAACTGGAACATCACTAGTGCTGAGGCTGATGACGTTTCACAAGTAAACAAGCACATTAGAACGCAAAACTACAAATATTGAGAAACAGCCTATGTCCCTCACCTCCCTTAGAACATATCCAAACTTCTCCCAGAGTTTGTAGTTAAAGAAATGTCACAGTATGTTTGGAACCGCTGGGTCTGACCAGCATCCTCCCCCTCCATCGTAGCTAACCCACCGCCAGGTAGCTGTCAGTGAGCTTTCTAGCCCTCTCTTTGCCTCAATGTTCCAGTTATGTGGCCACAGTTTAGAAAAAAAACTACAACAATGATCATGAACTAGGGTGTCCTGATGCCAAGAGCAGATATGGACGCCCTTATGCTTGAATATGGTGTTTGTTATGGACAGTCCATGATTAGCACAGAAGTCCAACAGCAGCACGGTGGTTTTTGCATTCAGCTTTAAAAATTATCACTGAAAAAAGAAAATTCAGAACCAGTAAAACAATTATTGCATTGCTGATGTCACCAGCTTTGTGTGAACGTAAATCATTTAATTTACATCATTATTTATAGCTGAAATGTTTTCAAGCTAACTGGTTCAGTGAAGATAATTATAGTACATATAAAGAGAATAAAAATAAAAGATAAAATTAATAAACAGAAGCATCTCCATTTTTTTTAACATAACTGTTTTTGTTTCTATTCTTCAGTCTAGATATTGGGTTTTACCATAAGTAAGAATTTATAAAGATTTAACGTGCACACATTAATGTTTTCAACCATTGAAACTATACTCAAAACTCAGGAGAATATGTTAACATCCTGAAATAAATTTGAAAGAATCTTTGGTAAATGTGAGCAAGTGCATCGTTTGACAGATGGAAAAAAAAAAACATTTTTATTCAGTCTGTGTGATAAAAACAGCAAATATTCATTGAGTCAAACACAATTTTACAACAATTGTTCTTTAAAATCTGTAATATTGTTAGTATTACACATTGGTGCATTTATAATAGACTCATGTTTTATATAGAATGGCATCCGAATTTCTCCACAAACGTTTATAGCAGCAGCCTATAACAATCTTTAACCCTTTATTAACTGAAAGCTCAGAAGCATCATACCAACCATACCAAGGAGAAGGTAAACTCACCCTCCCATCATACTGCAAGCTGTGGGTCGGGAATTTCGAAACGTCGTTATTATAAACAGGGTTATTTTTGCAACTATATAAATTCAGTCTGGTGTAGTTGGTGTGTCACAATTACAAGTATTGTTATGTAATTCAAGCGGCAGTGCAATATTTGAGTCGCCAAGCATTTCAAGATGGCATCACGTGTTAAAAGCACAGAGAGGATGTAAAATACAGTTTAACTTTATGTTCATCATTTTATGATGTGTGGAAAAACAAACATTTACAGGTTGTTGTTTTTATTTACTTTAAATGTGACCTAATCAACACTTAAAGCCTTCTTTTCACAGATCCAGGCATTCTTCTCCTTACAGCTAACTGATCTCCATTGTTCGTCTTGGAGAGCAGTCACACACTGACCATCAGTTGCTTTCCCTTCTATCCAGTCCCTGAAGAAAAACATCAGTTAGATATTAATTTACTTATTTTACCATTAAAAGGATAAAAAGTATGCATCTCTCACTGATTGCTTAGTTCAGTTCCATCAATCCATTTCCATTTTCCTTGATCAGCTCTCAGGCCAATCCAGTATCCTTTAATCCCCTCTTCTTTAGGACTGATCCCATTGATATAACCCTAATATCAACATGACAATGATGAATAGAGACATTTAAAAATTTTACAAACATAATCAGCAGTTTCTATATAAATTTATAGATGCAGTTCATAAGTTAGGAGTTAATAAGTTTTCACTTCTTCCTACCCCATTTTTGAGCATGATATGTTAATGGAAACAAATATCTGTATTTTTCTCTTCTTTTTTATGCACTTCTTGTTACTGTGCACTATTTTATTTTTTTTTTATATTTGTATCATGTTCAAAATAAATCTCATTTCATACAGGTTTTTTACCTTTTCCTCTTCATTTGCTGCAGCAGTCAGATCTGAACCCTTTTCTCTACAGCCTTCTCGTGCTCCATTCCAGTTTCTCTGATTTTCAACCTTTGCGTTATTATATGCATAGCAGCTGGTTGTGAAGGTACTCCAGCCTTTTTGACAAGGCTTACATTTTCTCCCTTAAACAACAAAGATCAACAAAACCATATTTAATGAAAACTGTTTTCTCTTGTCTTTACTGTAGATTTTAGGAGATCTATTCTTACCCTTTGTTGCTTTAGGACAGTATTCATCAATGCTCCACTGAGCTCTGCTGACATTAAGCTCATTCTGAGTTTTCTTCAGGTTTTCTATTTGTTCCTTCAGGTCGTTCTGCCGTCCTTCCAGCTCATCGGTTTGTCTCTTCAGATCCTGGGTTTTATTTTTTAGCTGTTCTTGTTCCACGGTCAGATTTCTGATTCTGGTTTCTAAGTCATTGTAGACGTGGGTCAGGTTTTCATTCTGGTACGTTAAGTTTTGGTTTTCTGATCTGAGTTTGTTGTTGAGGGCCGTTAAGTTCTTGTTTTCTGCCTTGTTTGCTCTTAGCTGGTTTATCTTCATGTCATGAAAAGAAAAAACTGCAAAATAACAATAAAAAACATTTTTTATCAAGTAGTTTAATGATTGTTTTTTGAAGATTTAAACAGAGGTTTAAACCTAATGACTTTCCAGGATTAGGATTAGAATAAAAAATACCTTTAAAAGAAATCTAAAGATTGACTTTTATTTTCAAAAGTGCCTTAACATTGTTTAGCCAAACATTTCAATAAATATCTAATAAAAATCTTTTTCCATCATTTCTGTAAGATTAATTTTGTTTAGAAAGTGTTTGTAAAATAATTTAAACTTATAAAGTTATTTATAGAATATAAATTGGTATTCCTCTATAAAACACTACTTACAGTAAACAGTTGCTATGATTCCCAATACCAAAATGATGCTGAAAGTCACCAAAAAACAAGTCAGCATCTGACAGCAGCCATGTTTTCTTCCAGCTTCCTTCTCTGATAAAATTCCTGCTGTAGTAAAACAACAAATATGATTAAATATCTATATTAAGCAAAGTTTATTCATCACAAAACAAGCTTAAAATCAATGGAAACCAAAAATTCATCAAAATGAAGCACAAAACAAATAAGATAGTAAATGAATTTCTTCCTAAAGATTGTTTTCCCTTTTGTGCTGTCTGAGAGATTCTGTTCATGCATGAGGACAACATGCAGTCTTTGTACAGGAACACCCAGAGATTCAAACCCAGGAAATTTGCTTTAATTGTTGCTTCACTGTGCAGCCGATAAAGCTAAAATATGTATAATGTTATTTAATGATTATGCAGCACGTTTCTAGAAGAACACTCTTGAAGTCTTTAACAGGTCACAGCAATTAATATCTGTTGAACCCTGATTACCGTAAATCCTCTAATATTGGCCTGCATTCAATTAGCAGCCGGGTCTCTAATAATGGCCGGTCTCGTATACAGGCTATAAATAGAACCAACAATGTTTCTGGGCAGTCCTCAACAACTTGTCATAGTAACATATAAGTGACACGGAGGGGCAATGTTTGCTAATGAATCCAATCAATTAGCATGGGAAGTCCCATCCTTACACAGAGATGGTAGTGGCCTTACACAATCATTCTGATCTGAGAGACAAATGTGATTACCGGTAGGTCTGGTGGTAAAATTACAGAATTTCATTGGCCTCTTTGTTCTGAATTTCCCTTGAAATATATGATACTGGTAGCCTACTTCCACCTAGCCTGCCTCAAATAAAATTTTGCTGTGATGGCAGAACAATTTCCATTATTTAAAAAAAAAATAATTTGTTTTGCATGTCAGTTTGGCCAAGATTCCATTCTGTGTCTTTTTATTTGTATTGCCGTGCAGAAAAATTGCCTCTAATTCTGGCCTCCTTCCAATAATGGCCTGGACCAAGATGTACCTGAGTGGAATAAAGGCCCCGGCCTATATTAGAGGATTTACGGTATGTCTGAAACAGTTTGACCAACTTTGAACTAGAACAGTAATAGATGGAGGTTAAACTCTACAATCAGAACATTTAGTTCATTTATTTATTTTATTTTTTTTACAGTGTCCTGTCTGGGAATGTTGCAATAAGAATAATTCTTGATGCCAAAAAGAGCCCTACAGATCTTACTTTCACAAGTGGAGCAGTACGGCTATCGCCATAGTGTTCCGATTGTTTCATGCATATAAATTGATTTATTATAATTATGCCGGGAGTTTTACAGATTATATGGACACTGCAATGTAAGTAGAATAGAAGAGGAAAAACAGAAAAATAGGGAGAAAAGATTAAATAAAGAGGAGATAGAAATGAGATAATGATAAAACATTTTCATTCTGCTTCATCACCTGCAACGAGATGTAAAAAGAACAGCACAACCAACAGACATGGAACGAGACATACAATAAAGTAACCTTGAAACTATCGCTGAAGTAGTTTTATTTAATCTGACATGTACTCTGTGTTACCTGAAGATAAGAATGTGACAAAGAACATTTAGTTTAAAAACACATTCAAATAGTTTTACGACATACCTTTTGAGCCAGAAGTCTGCTGAGTTGGATCGTTTTGCAACTTTACTTCATCATAAATAGTTTCTTCCTCCTTTGCAGCTGAAATACAACAAGCATGCTTAGTGTGAGGCATTAACTTTGAGTCTATGAGTCGATGAACTCAGCTGGTTTTCCTTAAATAGAAAACTTTGCGCCGGTATTACTGGATGATCTGGTTCAATTATGTCTGTAAACAATGATGGGTTGTTAATTGGCTGTATATAAATAAATTGAATATAATTGGATTTAAATCAATAAAATATAAATACTTATGAATCAATTGTTTCTGTTTTATTTTGGATTGTTACTGCTAGTGGGAAAGAGAAGCAACAGAAGATCTTTAAGCTGAGCTCTTAGGGTTTTAATTTGCTGGATGTGTGAGAATCTACACCAACGCCACTCCTAGCTGTATATTCTTTGTATTTTTAAGCATTTCTATCCTGCTGTAATATATTTACAGGCTGAAAAGACATTTTGATATCAGGATTAAAATCGTAAGATTGTGTTTATTGACGTCATGGGCTGATCATCGGATTTAAAAGAATCAGAGATTGCAGGGCAAATTTCCAACTCCTTAATAAAGTTAAAATGATTAACTCTACTCTCTAATGTTCACCATTTATGTTAGCATGTTTGATATTTTCTTCCCTCACCACTTATAATGTAGAACGATTCGGAGGATATCAGTAAAATCTATCCACATTGAAAATAAAGATTACCTCATAAACACAGAAACTGACGGAAGTTTTATCAGTTCAATATTTTTTATGCTATGCAAAAGAAGAGATTTTAAACTTACGTTTTGTTTGTTGTGGTTTCTTACTTTTGAACACCACTGAAGCATAGTGAATTTCCTCCTCTGACATCTTCAGGTTTACTTTGAAGAATGACTTGACTGGAACCGGAACCCCTCTAAAGTTGACTAACAGAGAAGATGGACGTAATGTTATTTCCTTCCTCCTTCTGTTTTTGGTTGCAGACATTTAAATGTGTGACTTAAGGTGACATAACTATTTTAGACACATCTCTGCCAATATAAACAAGACTGAACAGATAATGGCTGCATGATTCAGCAGGATTTTACAATAAAATGTTTCAATACAATTATTTCCTATCTCTAAAGTTATCAGGTCTCAGGAGAAAAGTAGCTCCAAGTTAAGCTTAAGTCTTTCAAATTAACATATTAATAAGTCAGAGTGAATTATCTCTGAAACACTTTCTATAAATATAAAAGTCAGATCATCACCTTTCACTTATATTGCAATATCCATCTCCTGTCAACATGAAGAGGACATGGAGCTCCATTCATTTTATGAAAAATAAAGATCCCAGGCAGGTTTCCTTTCTCCTTTCTTTTACTCTTTTAAATATTTATAGATTACAGCAAATTGAACCAAATTATTTGAGCTAGAAGGCAGAAGTTAAATAACAAGAACAAGTTATCAGAGTTTGGATTCATGAGCTTGTAGAGAAATTTACAAATACTTTTTACGAGTTTTTCACAGGTTTAAATTGAAATCATGATTGACTTTAATGCTTTTTATACTTAATTTGTTCAAATTATACATTTTAGTCCAGCTACTTTAAAATGTAATATTTCCTAATTTAATGTTAATGACAGTGGTTCAAAAAAATACACCAGGTACATTATGAGGAGAAATAGGATTTTAGCCTAAAGCTTTCATGAAGGAGAGAAATTCAAAATGTTGAGGCAGGAGGGTTTTATTATTTTTCCCTAAAAATAATTTAGTACATTTTTCTAACATTACCTTCTCTTTCACTGTTGTCCATCACTCACATCACTAAAATGGAAAATTTGTGGCCAGATTAATCAATAATAAAATTTCTTTTCAGGTTTTAAAACATTATTTTTCTACTGAAAAATAGAGAGAGCTTAGACTTAAGCTTTCTGTTCCTTTTTGTTTAACATCATACATCAATTACCGTATTTTAAAAATCCATAGTTGAATCAGTCAGTGAAGTTAAGACAAATTTCCTTTAAGGTCGTCCTGTAAAAAATCCATCTCATCCTTTGAATTGAACAGTTTTTCAAATGTTCAGTCATTTTAAAGTCATGTATGTATGTAAAGTCAAGAAAAAAACTGAGTCTGACACAGTAAAACTTTATTATTATTATTAAAACTTTATTATTATAAGAAATGACTTACCAATAAAAAATCATCCTATTAATGTTTAATGTATTTCATGATATTCATGTAGGTTTTATGTTCTGGATTTATAACGCTAAAGTTATGGTTAAATTGTTTCAAATATGTAGATTTTTAGAATGCTATATACTTGTGTGAATATGAAATTTATAAACATGTAGGAAAAATAAGACTCCCTGACAAAAATACAGGAGAAATTCTGCTGTATTGATGGATCTAATTCACAGTAACTTTCCAATAAAACCTTCCAGCACAATATCAAGAAAAACTAAAAACCCTCAGAATAAAAACCATCTGCCTGTTAATAGTGTGAATTTATCAGCATCAATCTTTTGCATCCCACTACAAATGGAAATTATTTTGTTTTTTTAATATGAAACCATTTTTGTTTCCATTATGATAGAGGCCTAAAAATGTATCTAGGGCTTCAACAGTACCCTCTGCTGGCCATCTATAGGTATTGACAACAAATTCTGACTAGTAATTCATATTGATGCTAATCAGATTTCATATGATTCAATTTGATATATTTATGTTAAAGGAAGAAGTCTAAAGTAATATTTCTAAACAATGTCTAATTAACTCCAGTGAACTCAAGGAGACTAATACATTTCACATCATTGTTTTTTTAACTTCTCTTGTTTTTTTTTATGCATCTGTGTGTCGTTACTAACCTCCCTCCCCCTTAATGCTAACACCTTTTAAAAGCCTAACCAGGGACGAAGGCTGCAAATTAGCGGTTGCAATGTTTAATTGTACTGTCCCTGTCAAATAAACAAATAAATAAAATAATCAACAGGACCAAATAATAATTTTGTTGCTGTACTGACCAAAGAAAACAGGGTCTCACATTTTTTTTATACTCAACATTCATTGTATGTAAAGGTTATGTTGAATTGTAAGTGAATGTGTATCTGTTGAATTAGAATCACCAATAATAGTAAAAAATAAATCAAAAATATATTTTTTTAAATATATATATGTATATGGGCTGCTCAGTGGAGCAGTGGATAGCACTGCTACCTTGCAGCAAAAAGGTTCGCGGTTCAATTCTTGTCCCGGGGTCTTTCTGCATGGAGTCTGCATATTCTCCCTGATATATAGATATATATATTTAAAAAAAATTCTCTTTCTTTCTGGATTTTAACATAAATTAATGAGCCTAATGTGTAGCAAAAGCATATACAGAAAACCTTCCTTGAGATTTTTCTTAATCTCTTGTATAAATGTTTAGTTCCTTTATTGCTTTTCATTATGGTGAAGCTAATCACAGCACATAAAGCTTAGAATGGAGGAAAAAACATGTGGACAGACATTTGAAATCATAAGAAGTTAGTAGAGAGGAGAACAGAGCATCTCCTTTGGAACATTAATGTGGATTATGGTTCTGTTTTCAGTCTATGCAGCAGATTTTACCACATGTAGGATTTCATATACTGGAAGATGCACAGTGCTTAAAACATTTTCTCTTATTCCGTAATTACTCAATATTTGATAAAAAATGGACAACAAATACATATTTTTAATATACTAAGATATCTTTTCTATCGAAAAAATATATATAATAAAAAGTAACATTTGGTAAATGTGGATAAGTAAATAGTTTAACTCAGTCTAAAATAACAACATTTACGCTCAGGTTTTTATGTTTAAATACATTTGAATGTCTTTTAGAAGTTTAAATGTGACCTAATTAATAGTTAAAGCCTTCTTCTCACAGATCCAGGCGTTCTTCTCATCACAGCTAACTGATCTCCACTCGTCGCCTTTGAGAACAGTCACACACTGACCATCAGTTGCATTGTGTTTTATCCAGCTCCTGAAGAGAAACATCAGTTATATATAAACCCATTAATTTGACCAATCATAGAATAAGAATGTTTGTGTTTCTCACGTATTGATCAGTTCAGCCCCGTTGATCCATTTCCATTTTCCTTGATCAGCTCTCAGGCCAATCCAGTATCCCTTGATGCCCTTTATAGCAGGACTAAAGTTGTTGTTTATCTCCTTCTATGTTTGACATGACAAAAACATAGAGAGGGATTTAAAAACTGTACATATATGATTAACAGTTTTTTTCCATAAAATTTTGTTTAATTTAACACAAGGTGTTTACCTTTTCCTCCTCGTTTTCTACAACAGTCAGATCTGAAACCTTTCCTGTACAGTTTTCTCGTGCTTCAGTCCAGTTTTTTCGATCCTTTTCGTCTGCATCATTATATGCATAGCAGCTGGTTTGGAAATGGTTCCAGCCTTCCTGACATGGCGAACACTTTCCGCCTTAAACAGCAAAGATAAACAAGAACATGTTTAGCAGCAAAATGCTATTATTGTCTGTTGCTTTTAGATATCAGAAGATCTGTTCTTACCGTTGCTCTTTTTAAGACAGTACTCATTAATGCTCCACTGAGCTCTGCTGACGTTAAGCTCATTCTGAATTTCCTCCAGCTTTTCCATTTGTTCCTTCAGCTTTTTTATTTGTTCCTCCAGCTTGCCAGTTTGATTTTTCCGCTCCTCTTGTTGCATGTTTAGACTTTTGATCTTGCTTTCTAAAACATTGTACACTTTTGTCAAGTTTTTGATCTGATCAGTAAGTTTTAATTGTCTGACTTGAATTTGTTGCTGAGAGCCGCTAACTTCTTATTTCTCAACCAGGTTTAACCGTCTGCTTAAAAGATGCATATCATGTTTCGAAAGCCTTTCAAAATCGCCCACAGAACAGGGAAGTATATGATGAAATAATGCCTATAGCTGTCATTTCATTTGGTTTAAGTGTTATAAAAGTGTTTTTTCACTCATTTAGCGTCAAGAGCTTGAAATACAGCCTTGTTATAACAAAGTTATAAAACTTTAAGATCAGACATTTGTTTTTTCTACTAATTCTCTTCGTTTTCAGTTGAAATTAAAGTTCATGTTACATTATCCACCATCATATTGCGTTTCTTGTGTACGGTGGGTTGAGGAAAAATGTATTTTAAAACGAGCAGACCAAGAAACAACCTGAAGTTCTTCTCTCAGAACAAGGCTAATAATATTATGTGCAACCCTGATTATAACATAGTCAAAAGTGAAAGATAAAAAAGTTGATTTTACACAACATAGGTCCTTTAATGAGAACTCCAAACATCTGGCTCCTGGATTTTATAGGATTTTATAGGACTCTAACTTCCATTTTCACTATCAGAATGTATATATTAGTTGATATAAACTTGAATTAATCTTTTGATAATTAATAGTCAGATAAAACAGTATTTCACAATAAAAGTCAGATATTTCTGATAGGTACTGAATTTATAAAGACATTATTTGGTTTTGTGACTCTATGTGACTGTCAAAAATATAATCAGGATAATTTTTAAAGCTATACTTACGATAAAAAAGGAATCCTATGATTCCCAACATCAGTGCAATGCAAAGCAAGGCAAACAAACAACCCAAAATCAGACAGTAGAGGCGTTTTCTTTCTGCTCCTTTCTCTGATGAACATCCTGCCAAAATAGAACAACCAGAAGAATTAAATAATTTAATGAAGCAAATAATAATAAAAAATTTAAAGATGACTGCTTTCATTCTCAAGCTTTGGACCAGGGGTCATCAGTCCTGGTCCTCAGGAACCCCCATCCTCCATGTTTGAAATGTTTCTCTACCCCAAAGTAAAAAACTTGGAATACATTTTGGGATAGATCACTGCATATCCTATTATTTGTTTTTTTTTTCTGCTTGTTTTGTTGTTTCGAAAAACCAGATAACCACTATGAGTGAAGTCTTTCTCATATTTAAGCCGATACCTGAGCCGCGTCTTTGTCCTGGAATTAGATGTGCTCATTTCTGGGGTCATAGATTTTTCAGCCTCACAATTTTTCACCGGAGTCACTAATTAAACGTAGTCAACACACTTGTTTATACGTAGATGTTGGAGCTTGGCCTGTTTTTCAGTGTAGTCCTGTTTCTCTGACTGTGACTGGCTGGATATGATCTCTTCATCCTCTGACATGGGAGCTGACTCAGAGCTCATCTGCCTGGGCGGGGCGCCTGTGGAGCTGGTTGACAGTTACCTTTAGTATTTCTGCTTCTTTTTCTATGTTCACTTCTGTCTCCTTGAACCCCAGTTGGCCTCAGCAGATGGCTGATTCCTGTTAAAACGGGAGTTTTTCCTCTCCACTGTCACTACAAGCATGCTTGGTGTGAGTGATTCCCTTCGAGCAATCAGCTGCTTTTTCCTAGATAGAAAACTTTGAACCAATTTGACTCTATAATCTGGTTGAATTATCTCAAGTTCCTTGAGATTAAATTTGTTCTGAATTGACGCTATATAAATAAAGTGAATTGAATGAATAAAAGTTTCAGAACGGATTCCTCTTATGACACAATGAGGACAAATTCTTTTTTCTGTACTTCTTTTCAGCTTCTGACCCACAAAATGGTACCAGAGTTGACTTATGAATCAAATAGTTATTTGAGCAAATAGCACCCCTAAAGAGGTGATCGACCACAGCAGTGGAAATACCAAGCCTTTTTTTTTTTAGCACATTCTATAGCGACATCTTCATGCCTATAAGCACTTAAATGTTAATTTTTTTTTTTTTTTTGCTTTTTGTAGTAGATCTCAAGATCCCATACTGGTTAACTGAGAACCTAAAGGGGGTGTGGCCACAACTTTGGAAATCGATCACCTATTGTGTCGGTTTTCATCATTAGCAGAGAGGGGGGAATCTCTACCCAGGGTGTGGAAAGTTGGAATCAAGACTGAGGTGATAAGAAAATCTTTTTTCTCTTTGATTATTAAATAATTACGTTTTGATCAATTATATTTTATAACAGAGCTTTGGAAATAGGGAAGTTCCAAAGCATTTGTAGACTGATTTAGTAATGAAATTAACCCTGCCATCCACAGTTTGGCAAGTTCCGTTGTCAAAAAATGTGATCAATCATTTGAACTGCTTGATATAGTTTTTATGCCTGACGCCATTAATGATGCCATCCCCCTGCATTAAAGGGAAAGTTAAAAAAATATATATATTACAAAAGTTGCAATAGTGTCCTCCTCTATTGGTTTTTAAATTAACAGTTCTTCATTTGAGAAAATAACAAGTAGCTCTGACATTTTCACCATAGAGAAGTGGTTAGGAAATATTTATTATAGGCTATTTAGGCTTTCAGTCTTTGCACCATAGCTTACCAAATCAGTGAATCTGTGACTGACCTCATGTTCTCTGGAAGACAGCTGCAGACCTGCATTTGGCTGGATTACTCACACCTAACTAGACACAGTCTGGCTTTATCTCCTTACCTCAACTTTTAATTTCTGGATTTTGTGAAACAGGCCTCTAGATTGAAGAACCCTGCCTTACACCATTTAAGGTAATAACGCTTCATCATCCATAATTTGTCTCTTAGGGGTTAATGTTGTTCTTTTCTCTTTGGAAAAGGCAGGACACACTAACATGGCAAACAACCCTGCACCCAAACAATCGCAGCTAAGGGCAGTTCAGAGTAAAAAGTATTATCTCTAAACTACGGGAGGAAGGTGGAGTACCCAGAGAAAACCCTCTGATGAACAGAGAACAGGCAATCTTCCTGTAGAAAGTTCGAAAGCCTGGCGTTTCAACCAAGTAGCTGATGGTTTTTTTTTTAGGGTCCTTTTCATCAGACCACAAGGGCTAGTGCTCTGAAACTATTAGACATGTCTCCAGTCCAACAAGTTATTTTTTTCCATGGTACTGGTGGCCAACACTTTACAAATTATGAGACAGGAAATGGGATGAAGGATTACACAAGGTTTTAACAAATCAGGATTCAAACCCAGGACCGCTCCATCAAGGATTATGGCCTCCATACATGAGGAGGCTGCTCTACCTTCTCCAAAGCATCCTGCTGATGACCTGATTTAGGCGTCTGCATAGACACATCTAAAGCTGCAGGACACCGGCTACCATTCAGAGGGAAAGTCACTGAGCTTTTTTTAAAACGATCTTTTATTATGAAAAGATAAGTTGTTCTACAACTTACCTTTTAAGTCAGAAGTCTGTTGAGTATTTAGATTTTTCACATTTACTTCAGCGTAAGCACATTCTTCCCCATTTTTAGCTGAAACGATCAACGTATAAAAAAAATTAACGTTTAGCAACATTGCATTTAAGAAAAAAAATAAAAAGAAAGAAGCTAACAGATCAAGTTTTATCAGTTATCAGAGTTTTCTTCTATGATGCATTAATAAAAAGAATAGAACTTACATATAGATTTCCTTTTTTTCTTATTTTTGAACGTCACTGCAGCATATTGAACTTCCTCCTCTTGCATCGTTTGTGTTAAGAAACGACCTCACTTCTAAACATATAAGCTGTCACTTCTTCTGAGGAAACCCTTATACTCTCAGTTCCGCTTCATTATACATATATATCTATTTCGAAAAACACATTGCAAAGACAACTCCTCCTGACCAAAAGGAACTAAAATCCACACTTGAAAGAGCATTTCTATGCTTATAGTGTAGATGTTCCTTCCTCAGGCTAGTTTGCCTTTATTGTGGATTTCTTTAACAAAGTTGTTTTAGAAATAAAATTGTTTCAACAATGAGTCACAAAAACAGATTAAGCTGATAAGCGATTTTTTTTAAGTCTGTTGTGCCATATGCCATGATCATACTTTTTGGACATTGGGAACCAGTGTCCATATTTCATCCTGATAGGATGACCAGAGAAGAAAACGCAGCTTTGGTGAATAACAGCTGGGGGACTTCAGCAGCCCCCACTTTTTCAGCAAAAGCAGCCACCAGCAAGTCACATGGAAGTCACAGAGGTGTGAAAACCTACCCCACTCCCTGTGAGGACGGAGAAAACCACAGAGCACACAGAGCTCTCTTCTCTTTTTGCTCTCTTCTGCTCCAGCACCTCTCTCCTGGTCCCTTTTGCTCCTGCGCTCAAAGCTGGGGCCCACTGTGGCCAACAGTGGAGATGCGGGCCCCAGGGGAACCAGATCCCCAGAACCATCAAGGATGAGTCAGAACTCTTCAGAACCTAACTGCTGCAAACAGAACTTTTGCAACACATTTCTCTTGAGTTTCAGAACTTACAGAGCCAAACTGGATGAGAACCATATCCTTGGGGGTGAGACTGAGAGGACCCTCTGCTGTGAGACTGGAACAAAGGAGCCCCTGACTGCAGAGCTGCAAAACTTGATGAAACTCAAGCTTTCCAAATGGACATGGAAAAAGGTTTGCCGGTCTGGCATGATTAGGGACAGAACAAGCAATATGTCTTTTGATGATGCTAATCATATCGTGTGTTTACTGCTGAGTAAAGACACCGCTAATTGATGCTAAAGAATGGACTGCATGCTACGCTATGCTACAGGAATATGTGTTGAGCTGTTGCTAAAGCTTAGACAAGCTTTATTCACTAAGGATTTAAACACTGATGTAACATTAGTGTTCATGTGTTCCTCAGATGCTCATTACATTTCCATTACCAAGTCTGACCAAGAGTCATTTAGTGGAATCCTGATGTCTATTCGCTGCTAGCTATTTCAAGGGAGGTTAAAGAATCATTTAACTAAAGATTTTTGGTTCTTGATTAAGCAAATCATTCAATAAAACATTATTTGGCCAAATAATGTTTTATTCACCTCATGGATTTGCATTGTGAATTGGTCTGAAAACATTCCAATTTCTTTAAAATTAGTGAAAAGCTAATTTGATCATATCCCAAATTATTTCAGATAAACTTTGGTTTCAAACACAGAATCCATCTTAAACTGTAATATGTTTTTCAACCGTTTTCCCCTTCCTCTTTGTACATAGTAGTTAGTTTAGTTTAGTTGAGTTTTACTAGTCTTAGTTGAGAGTGTTAAACTGAAATACGTTTGACGTGGAGCTGAATGATTTTTGTTAATAAAATCTTATATTTTGAACAGAAGTTGTGGTGAATTTATTCCATCTATGTGCAGAAATAACTGTTTGACCATGATTAGTGCTCGAATCACTCTTTCATCTATTGTTCTAACACACAGTTAGTAGGACTGTGTGTCATAAACAGTATATAACAGCTGAAATAATATCTGATTAAATAAGATATTTTACCACCCCTACAGGGGAGGGCAATAAACATCTTAAAGTATCAGAAACATAAATTCCCAGCGGGCTGGGAATAGAATTTAACTATAGAATCACAATAAGTCCTTTCCTACATGTGGTAAAAAGCAACATGTTTAACTCATTGAAGGCTGTATTATATTTATGAAAGAAAAAAACATTCTAGTAAAAAGAATGGAAACTGGGCTTATAAACTTGGAATTCATATAGAAAATGGGTAATTACTGCTACAGCTAATTACTGCAGGAATTATGTGAAAAAACAAGGAACTGAACATGTGCCGCAATGATCAAACTTTTCTGCACCAACATGAATGGAAAATTGGGGCGTTTATTTTTTCACTGGCCTCGGCAACCCTAAGCATGCATTATATATTCAGATTAATCTTAAAACACACAAGATGATGTACAAAAAATTAAACACCTTATTTAATGATCAGCTTTAATATTCAAACATTTCCATGATACAGAAATAAGTTACCCTCCTTATCCTTTTTTAACAGCACCCTTTGACAGGAAGAAAACTACTGTAAGTGCTTTAGAATCAAATTATCATAATTAGGATGAATATAATCAAAGCTGCCTATAAAAAAGAGACACATTTTGTGTCACTGTTGCCTTGCAGCAGCAATATCTTGCGTTTGATTCCTGGTCCAGGCTCTTTCTGCATGGAAGCTGCATGTTCTCCCCACGTATTATATGTTCTCTCCAGGTACTTTGGTTCTTCCCAAAGTCCAAATACATGACTGTTAGGTTAATTAGCATCTCTAAATTGTTCTTAGATGCTTAAAACAAATCAATATGTGGATGCAACATGATTTTCTCCAACTAAATGAGGACAGATCCATAGTTTGCTCCCAGTTTCAGCTACTACAGCTAGAAACCACTGATAATGGCTGAAATCTTGGTGTCATGATGGACTCAGACCTGAACCTTCAGAGGAGTTAGTAAGTCAGCCTTTTATCACCTGAAGTACATTTCCAGGATTAAAGGACTAATGTCCAAGTAGGATCTAGTAAAAACAAATTTATACATTCATCTTCAGTAGAACTGATTAATGCAACAGTGTCTTCATAGGTTTGCCTAAAAAGTCCATCAGACAGCTGCAGCGGATCCAAAAAGCTGCTGCCCGTGTTCTCACTAGAACTAAGAAAGTAGAACATATCAGCATATTCTGAAGTCCTTCCACTGGCTCCCTGTAGCTCAGAGAATAGACTTGAAAATGATTCTGTTAGACTATTAATTACTGAATAGATCAGCATCTCAATCCATAGCAGATCTGTTGTCAGTGGATCAACCTCCCAGACAACTCAGGCCTTCTATTTCCAGCCTACTCTGTACACACAGAACTAGAACCAAACATGGAGGAGCAGCATTTAATTCCTATGATCCACTTCTTTGAAAAAACTCCCAGAAGGCTGAAAAATTGCTAAAAGTCTGAGTTCTTTGAAGTCAAAGTTAAAATCCCATTTCTTTAGAACTGCATTTAAATGTTGGTATAATTAGTCTAAGGTTTTGGTCCAACTGTTTTATACATTTTACTGCCTGCTTTTAATGTGTTTTTATCTTCATTTGCTTTTATTCCGCTGTTCTTTTACTTCCACTTCAGTGTTCAATTAACTTAAAACACTTTGAATTGTCCTTGTACTGAATTGTATTTATACTGTAATATAGAAATAGTGTTGCACTGATACCAGTATCGAGCGGGGCCCCGATACTGCACTAAAACGGTGGTATCGGTATTGGCAAGTACCGACAAATAGGGCACCGATATTATTTTGAGAGCCAAAAGTTTATTCAACTATTGTCACCCATTCCAGGTAGGCAATAAACGGCTCTACTGGATTCACTCTGTATCAGTCTGTTTTCCTGCTTCACAAAAGTAGGCAGCAGCTTGACAAAGCCATGATGGCAATTATCTTACATTCAAGTAGTATGTACTGTGGTTGTACATATATATACATACATCAATTTCAAACAGATGGTATCGGTATCGGCCGATACTGCACAGCCAGGTATCAGGTATCGGGGCCAAAAAATGGCATTGGTGCAACACTATATACAAACAAACTTGCCTTTGTTAGGATTCCTGTCTGTGTGGTTTGTGTTTTTGTGTTTGTCTCCCTTCCTCCACCAGAAGGCGCCTGGTTCTGGTCCACCTCCTCACACACCTGCGGAGGGTTACCTCGTTAACAGAGTGCTCTTAAGCTGCTGACTGCCACTACTTCAACGCCAAAGTGTTTGCCAGTTTTGGGTACTCTAGCCAAGCTGAGTTTTTACTGAGTCAAACTGAGTTTTGTCAACCTGAGTCCTAACCGAGTTTTTTGTCTTTGCCTCTCGGCAGGAAGTCATCCTGCAAACTGGATGTTTTCGGACCTTCTCTCCCTGGAAGGATCATCTGAGCTTCAAACTGAGCTGGGAATTCAAACTGGAGGTTTGGATCTATTTTCCTCCAAGGGATCGTTTAAGCTTCACACTGAGCAAGGGATTCATCTCCATACCAACCCGTTCAAGTACTGCAGGAAATCCAAGTGGCAGTCAGTTTCTCCGTTCACCTACAAACAACCGCATTCTGGGTAAACCCCGTCCGCCCTCCACCGAATGAGACAAACCATGGAACTACCGCACACAGACTGGAGTCAAAGAATCAACCACTTTTCTGGAAACGTGAGTCAGTCTCTTCAAGTTCAAGAATCAAATTTCCCACTGAGCCTGAACTAACCGCAGTGCCTTCCCCTCACTTTCCAGTTCCGGTTGAGCATTGTTCAGAGCAACACTAGATTTTGCATTATCTCCTCAATAAACCTGTTAAACCTTTTCCCTGGTCTCTCTGAATTGGTTTTTCTGCATGTGGGTCCGAGCTCTTGATAAAATCATCAAACATTTATTTGTACCATAAAGAAATGTTTTTCTCTTCTCAAAGATTCTTCTAAAATCAGATCTTAAATCCACCTACAGATGACCATCATGTTAGCTGAAGCTGTATTTTTGTAAGCTGAAGATGAAACATTTTATCGATATATTTCAACAATAGTGAACTTGATGCTAGCTGCTGGGTTTGATAAAATAACATTTTTAACTAATCTGTCAGTATGATATTGTAATGTGCCTTTGGGAGACTTGTGTTGTGAAGAGTTGCAGAATAAACTTAGTAAACTGAACTGAAAACCTTAAGCAAAGTAAACAATTATTATATAAATTAAACCTTTGTTTATTTTTGTTAATAGTAGCTAAATTGGGTTCTTAGTTGGATAACATTGACAACAAAAGGGTTTAAATA